AACAAATTTATACATAACATATTATATAAACATAACAAATTATATTATAAATTTTTATTTCCATATTATTTTTATATTATTTTTTTAATGTGTTAGTTTATTATTAAATTGACACGATTAACTTTATATTTATAAATTCAAGGAAAATATGCTATGCGTGTGTATATACATATGTATGTGTTTGTGTTACATGAATTTTCTAAAGAAATATGATTGTGAATTATTTTGAGACGATGACGAACAATCCTAGATTTTACTAACCCTAATGTCTTAGAACGTACGTATGGCGTGGATTGATTAAGCATCTCGGGATAAAAACATTTTCGTCGGCGTAAAAATGCAGTATGCTATGTAGTTAGTAAAACCAGTTCTTTGAAGCTCGTCCTCGCGTATCTCCTTCTCCTGTTAGAACGCCGTAACCATACGTATATGTATACATATGTACATGCATATTTGCTTAAGGCACTATACTTATTTTATTTGCACCATATTGAATCCAACGGGTAAAATGTAGTAAACAAAAAAAGAAAGAAACCTTTTCTATTTCTTCGTTATTAGCATAAATATATGGAACTTTAGCGCATGTAGAATTATGACAAATTAATCGAATAAAATGGCAATCAAGAAGGCTTGACATAATATCATGGTTCATTTAAATCATTTGTAGACGCCATTCCTCGACAAGAAAATTGTTCCGCCAACTATCACATATTTATGACGTGTAAATGTGCTAAGGGCATTAAGTGAGATCCAGTTCCACTGGTTTGACTGTCTACCCTTCCGGCGTGGGGGATTCGTACGTTGGGAATCACGTTGGTAGCCATCTATCAATCGGGACACAGAAACGTGCCTTTCCTCGCGGCGCTCCGCACATCCTTATTTATAGCGGAATGATCGGCCCATAATTACAGACTCCATGACGAAAACGACCTTCTGCTTATCTAAACAGGGGCTACGGCACCCACTCGTATACACGCAGGTCGATATTTCGGAAATAAACTGCACAACTGTTCATTTCACGCATCAATTGCATGTTTATTCACGTTTGCTGCTCGTCAGATGATAGCTACTTATCTCGGACTTATCTCCGACTTGCTACTTATCCCGAAGATGACCCATATGCTTGTAGCTGCATGATTTTGCCGGCAGCAAGGTCGTATTCCGAGTAATTTTCACAAATTTTAAAATAGTATAGTACATTCTGAAGAATGCAAAAAATTGTTCTAAAAATATTTTTCAATTTTTTATAAAAGTATCTGCCGATATTCGAAAATTATAATAATTTAAAGTGACGAAGGGAATTTTTAAACACGCAAACAACAAAAAAACACATTGTGAGGATAAATCTTTTACAATGAGATATTGTGGTTACATTTTTTATCGATAAGATTTAACGAAATTTTAATAATTCTTTCTCGCGGTCTCTTTGTTTATACGATTAGTTTGTAATTATACTATATTTTAAATTTACCCTCCACTTGCCTAATTCCTTTTAAAATATCACCTTTCACCTTTTCCGTTTTTCTTCAAGATTATCTATACGTTATCTATTCGTTAATAATCCACAAATAATTATGCTAACATTATTATGTAAACAATAATTCTTTTAAATAATTATCAGTATCATATATACATAAGCGTTTCAAATACATCATTTATTGTATAAAATTATAAATTATATCTTATGCTGTTTCAATGTTATTAAAACATTTGTGTTAAACTTAATTTTACAATACTTAATTGAAAAAAACTTGTTTATTAAAATATTCTTACCGTAAAGGCAATGTATGACTAAGGTTTTATTGCTTGTTTACGTAATAAATGTATTAATATTGATTAGCATATATACACTATACTGGTTTAATAAATGTTTAATAAAAAATGTTTTTCTCATAAAGCAAAGTAATAAGATCATACATTAATGTACTATTTAAAGTAAGCCAGATTCTCTTATTCATTCTTATGGCTATTAATAAACAGTTTATTTTTTCACATTTAGTGTTCAAACGTTTATGCATCAGAAGAAGCAGCCGGTTGAAAAGCGTCGGAACGGCTGGACGAAGTCTAAACGGAATGTCTTGAATTAACCTCGACGAATCAATTATTTTCTTCTTAATACAGATATGAATTATTTATTTTTATTTGTAAATGTTGTATCATTTTGCTTACAGTTATAATTTTCACGCGTTTATTTGAAAAATTTTCATAAATCTTTCTCACATACTTATTTAATATACAAATATATAACAACAATCGTTAAAAATGAGTTTTTCTTTACAAAAGAAATCTTGTCCTTGAAATTTATTTCAACCAAAGTACAATTTGAAAGAGTTGATTTTGTCAGCAAATAAATGTTCAGATAAAAGCATTGAAGATCTTAGAAGGCGGTACTAATTGGTCAATAGATACAATTATTTCAAGCGTATTCTCAGGACCACTGTATTTCATACATTCGTACAAAATTTACAATTTGACTTTGCCGTTACTTTTTGCTACGCAGTATTTATATTCTTGCGTTAGTAAAATTTATAATAATGTATTACTCAATCTAGACCATACTATTCACCTAATAACCTTTTCTTAGACGTTTTTAAAAAATTTCTATTTGTTTGCCATATAAATTAATTTTTTATTATTTTCATTAATCAGCATTATAATTAATTATAATTCATCGGTAATCACTCTTGAATTTTTGCATCACTATCGAATATTGCCTCACAGTATAATTATAGCTGGAATTTCATTAAAATTGGAAATCGTTAATTATTCCGGTTCTTAAGATATACATCGTGCAAAATATATACCTATAAGGCCTTGTTTCACGATATGATACTCCTGTAATCGATAAAAAACGACGAACTTTTCGTTTCTCGCGAATCGAAGCGTGTGCGAAATAATCGCGCGAGGGACATAAGCCGAAGTAAAAGGATGCTGTATTAACCAAGCGGGCATCATGCGAACGATTGGGAGAGGAAGCCAAAACTTGTACAAGAAAGATCTGAGCTGCGTATCCCGTTTGGGGGCCGAGCCGAACGATCTGAGGCCCTCGTTCGAGCTAACCCGAGAGAACTAGAAGGAGAAGGCAACCCCCCGCGCCTTACAATGCAGCCTGATTTATGGCCCGGGCGCACATACATAGAGTTACACACGATATCATAATACCATTAATTCTTCGTCAAATTCCCCGCTGACTGAATCATACTGGCCGCGCAGTAAATCACGCGGGGCGACTAATGTGAGCGCGACCAGCGCGCTCGGCTGTTTTATCTTCTTTGAGCCACGGGGGCAGGTGAATCTAGTCTTGGTCTCCGCTGAATTACTGTTACCTATTCTGACCGCACCCCCGCACTGCCTTTCGTTCGTATCTCAAATCACGCGCGAGCTCATTTCTGTGTGTTTTATAAAGTACATATTCGGACGACCGTAGAGAGAGAGAGAGAGAGAGAGAGAGAGAGAGAGAGAGAGAGAGAGAGAGAGAGAG